TCCTCAAGGTAGATAGATAACTCCGATAGGAAATGCTATCTGCCGGTAGGTTATTGAAACGTAAGTTAGGGTAAAAGGATAGATTTGTTTAACTGTAGTAATGAGAACTAAGGATAGATAGGTTATTGAAAACGGCCGTAAGTGACACAGAAAAATACATCTATTCATATTAGATGACTTAACATACTCGTGAGGAAATGGCGGTCGATTTTAGTTATTTTATTTACGTTATTTTTAAACTTGTAACACTTGTAAACTTGTAAGTATTCTAATTTCATTTCTTAAAATTGTATACGACGAATTTTCTTTTGGTATTAATTAATAAATATAGATATACTATAGACATACTATAGATATACATAGATATTGACATTCTTGTTATTATTTGTTATTCCATTTTTAAACCATTATTGTTACATTTGGTTTATTTTTGTTTTTCAGTAAGTACCTATATTAGCATTATTTCATATAAACTTTAACTTTCAGCACTTTTCGATCTATGAATTTGAAGTATTTCAAATTTTACATTCTCGTCATTATCATCATTATTTCAAAAGAAAAAAAACTGAGAAATCTCTTCACTCTTCTAGGACTGCCAGCTTGGGACTTAAAATCACTCATGGGTCTTCCCCAGAGCCTGAGGCTGTTCGTCAGGGTAGTTTTCAGTGGAAACACAACATACTCCTACCATCACTACCATCCCCCGGGAGCCAGAGATACAGTCTTGTCTAATTGTATATCATCCTGATATGTCAAACAATATGTAATATAAATAGTGTTCTACTTCGTTCCCTCCGTACCACAATCAGTCTAATTCAACACTGATTATGACAGATTGTTATGTCAAATAAATGAGCTAAAATTTCTTCCATGACATTTGATTTACAACCGCGTGTGCCACGTAAACTTGGAGGCAATTCAGATAATATTAAGAGCCCATTAAAGTCCACTAGGCCAAAAACTAGGTTACACTCCACCAGCAGAACGACCTCGGTAACAATGACACAATAGCCAAGGAAGCTCTAACTATCAGAGTATTTATTATTCTGCTTCAGATGAACAATCGGTTATGAATTGGTTAACGAAGTGGTGTAAATTATAAAACTAGGTTTATTGAGTTTAAATATAGTTTTACGGTGAATTTATTTATGTTGGTGACTGTACTTATTACTTTTCAAACTTCTTTCCGAATCAATGATTGTAGATAGGTTACCATAGAATTTCAGTTATAAATATTTCACGATGTAAGTCCTTAATATCAGTTCTTTATAATTCTAGTACTTCGCTTTAATTTTTGTAAATATTTTTATCAGATTTCGGCTGAAAATAAACTTCATTTCTCAAATGTGCTCAAGTCTAAACATGCCATTTAACATTTTTGTACGTACACAATACTCGTAGACCACAAAAGCATCGAACATGACCGCAAAATATAAAAACTAATGCAATACAGTTGCAGTCATAAATGTAACACTATTTATAAAGCGCTAATAAAATACAAGTGATCAAAAAACTCTATTAGTACATTCGTGGTGAAGTTCTATGTATAAAGAGGAGAGTGGCCATACTGTTACATAAATGACTTTCGTTTTGTTAATGCGCCGTAGCACATTAACTACACATGCGATCACCACCTTCAGCGTAGAATATATGTAAAAAAAATATGTAAAAAAGAATTATGTGTTGTTAGGTGGTAGACTCTACCAATTTGCAAAGACGGAAAATTGAATTGAATAAAATTGAAAATTACACGTCTTTGATCAACATGTTCGCCAAATTCACAACACACGTCACAAATATAAAGGTTTAGGCGGTTTTATCACACACGCTTATTTCTTCCAGACAAGTTTTATGCGAAGATCATTAAAATACCAAAGGGAAGTCTGTAAGGGTATATTGACTATAAGGCCGGACTATAATATATAAACCGGGCACTTAAAAGTATTTTCTTTAAATGCACTAACATCCACACTGACTACAACGGTTTAGGGATCTGTATTGACGACGTAGTTTAAAGGATTTAAAATTTTCCAATTTTTCAATAAATAGAAGCTTCTTCAGTTTAACATAAGCGCAGGCCTGGGGGTGACAGGTGAGGCCATCTGTCACCCTAGCAGAAGCAGACCGGGGTGGCGGCGAGCGCGTTGCGAAGCGCGCTCGCTTCCATGGAGCAGAGGGAACATGGGGTTCCCACACGGGGGGGTCGTCTACTCGTCTGTAGATGGCCCGAGGTATGTCGGGGCACCAGGGACTTCCTTTCTAAGGTATACCTGGTTCCCCTGCTATTAGTACCCGAGACGGCGTGCGGTTTTAGTCGGTTCGTGTCCGACATGCCACCGATAGGTGGTATCTGAGGGGATTTCCGCACGGAAAAAAAAAGGAATACTGTTGATGAATACAGTATTGAAATACATTTTTTTAATTTCTTTTAATTCATAGTCTGGGAGCAGACTAAGAATGTTGTTGTTCTGATCCCGGACTTTTTCTTTAACTAATATGATTAGCATCAGCTTAGAGGTATACTCGTAATTGGAAATAATCAGACAGAAAGCATACATGCGCAGTTACTTTCTCATTGTAAATTATACTTTAAATAGGAGAACACGGTTTAATTAATGATTACGTAAGAAAAATTTAATTTTTTTTTTGTGTTTACGGTTTTTATTATTTTAGATAAAGTTTCAATTTTAAATATTTTAATTTTGTTTTTGTTTTGTTTAAAGTAATGTTTATCAGCAGTCTTGTCATCATTGCACATTCGGCTCGGTTTGAGATCAGACGGCCGAGTGTAAGATGTATAAAATTATTTATTTTCACAGTACGAAACATGTATACTTGCGTCCAATTTAGTCAATTTTCCTGACAGGGTTTAAAATAATATCTCAAGATTATACTTGTTTTTTATTTTACTATAAGAAAAACAAAGTTTTATGTCGAATAAAAACTTGTTTCATTATAACGTTTTTTAAATACAAAAGACGAAACACGGATGTGAACCAAGTTCTAAAAACTCAATAGTTTTTGAATATATCTTGACATGGACACTCAAATTACGAGTGAGTCATGACTGTATAAAGAATAACAACTAAGATTTTATTATTTTTCTCTAAATATCTTTACTCGTTTACTGTACACTGTGCGCTTTTCAAGACACTTTTTGCCTCGCAAAACCAATCTGTGGTTAAAAACCAACAAGTAATCGTCTGCGGTATTTCCGGTACGATATGACATTCAAACCTTCAAGAAAAGAGCGTACTTCTTCCTCAAAAGCCTGCTCGTTTGCCCCTTCTTTCATAAAAAAAACAAAAACAACCAAATTTTATTTAAATCTCTTGAGAGGTAAGACCTGTGATACTTCCGATATTGATTATAACTGCTATGACATATGCTTTTTTTTTATTACACACAGCCAAGCAAAGTATGTATATTTATCTTTAGCGCGAAAATTTAAAAATAATAACAAAACAGCATCTACAATGAAACAAACTATTTATACACTACAATTTAAAAAACGAATAAATTTTTTAAACCTACGTTAAACGTGGCAGCACTATGATATCATAAAATTCGTTCGAAAAGAGAACTATTTCAAAATTATTAAATAAAAATGTCGGCGGTTGCTAATAATACAAATAACAATTACTTCAAGACTTCCTATAATAATATGTATGATTTTTTTTTGTAATATCCTTCTATTCATAAATATACGGTACAAAGACTACAATTACAAACGCTTGTTAGCAGTTAGGCAATCTAATGTTTGTTTTAAGCTGTCCGTCATTTGCTAGCTCCAAAGATATTGACAGTGTATTTGAAAAGCGAACTAGAGGTATATTATTAACCCTATACGCCCACAGCTTCTCATATATTATCTGGTTAGCTTTAGCTTTCTCCGGGAAAACGGCACAGGAAAGTAAGAAATGTTCATACAAGCTGTTGTTTAGAAAGCTTGAATTTCTTCGATAAGTTTTAGAATAGGGTATTCCTTATCTGTTAAAAGAAGTACAACTAATGTTTCTGTTTATGTAACTCAGTCAGCAAAATCTTCAGTAAATTTCTAGCCTTCCTAATTTCCAATTTCTCCTTGAGTCTCGCGTGAAAAGGACGATTTAAAGTTCTCAGCAAGTATTATTTTATAGATTTTGATATTTAGTGCATTGAAGAGTATTTAGTACTTGTTAAAGCAAAAGCTATCCTAAAGGCGGTATATGCTGCTACCCGTTCTAAATCCTACATTTTTATTTTACACACAATTTTGCTTTACTGTTATAGAATAGACGCCTGCAACCCAAGAGTCAAAAATGAGTTGCCTCTGAGTCCCCTGCAGATGTAGGGAGAGGGGGATTTGGACTCCGGTAATTACTCGGTGTAAAGCAACGAAAGAATAGTTTAACACCGGTTTTCTGTGAGGACGCGTTATTACTCCAGTTGTGAATGGAAATAAGAACATTATAAATTAAATATTTATAATGGGTAGGTACCGTATATGAGAACTGAAAGAAAGTGGACGTATTATGGAGTAGAATCATGTAGTTTTATAATGTAACTTGCGATACAACCTGTGTTATGTCATATAATTATACAGCTGATAAAATGAAAACAATAGGCGTACGAACATAATTTTCGCGTGAAATACGTAACAGTTATGGTTATGACTACATGGTCAGTTAACAAGTCGTGTTCAAAATAAAAGTATAAATTTACATTCGCAGTTATTTTATATTTAAGATTCGATGGAAGTTGGAATCCGAATGAGAATTAGGGTTTAGATCAGGGCATTTATAAAACACAGGGCCTAGCTATATTGGCAAACTAAGCATTTTAAAGAGTCAGATATTTTCAACCCAACGCGTAGTTTTTTTTTGTTAAACACCTCTTACGTGATCAGACAGATAGACAGACGTGTTCAGAGACAACACAAACTTAGAGGAGCCGGAATTATGGTAACCAAACTGCTATACAAACACTTGGATGGATTATGGACTATGGATTAATTATAACCACACAAAGAACAAGTTCAACACGCAAAGAAACAAAGATCCTGCTCAACACGCAATTATTTGTGCTAGCTTACCATAGTATGGACTGTCTAGTTTGTCATGGAAGGGCGTGTGAGAGGTGCTCAACTAAAAAAAAACCACATCAAACTGCTGATTTGATTACAAAAATAGCTAAGTACTCTTTAATACAGTAAAAATTTAATACTCACAGTAGACAACAGACTGAACAAATTATTTCTTATATGAAGATCCGGTATCTTTCCGGATGGTAATAGTCTTAATAGTACATTTCTAATAGATCTAAGTGCCTAACTATCAATGTTATCAACTATCATCGAAGATCAAGCTCAGTACTAGGCGCTCATAAACGACAGGAGTCAACTCACGTTTTATTAACCATATCGTCAGCATATCAAAGCGCGTTAGATGTACCACGATACTGTATCAGCATATCAACACGTACAATTCAGATAAATAGTTGAACGCATCGTCTGTGGGGATTTAAGACGTCTGAATGAATTATGTTAGAGGAATGTCTTGAATGGAAAGATCTTGGCGGTTAAACAGTAATTCACTGACTGTCAAATGGATGGGTGGCCGGTAACCAAAGAGTAACTATTTTTACTTTGGAACTTTTATTGCTTCCAGTTGCCCTGATATTACAGATACATATATATAGTTTTTATTTTGTCATTAATTTAATTACTTTTAATTACTTTATTTTTTTAACCTCTCACGAACAATCTTAATGAGATAAATATGATAATACTAGCTTTTGCCAGCGGCTCCGCCCGCATGTATGTCGGTTGAAGGGATAAAAGTAAACGTATGTCCTTCCTCAGGAAACAAACTATCTCCATACCAAATTTCATCTAAATTGGTTTAGCGGTTATTCATTTTCCATACAAAGTTCCATCCCCTTTCACCCCCTTAAAGGGTGATTTCTAGGATGTCCTTTCCCGATACTCAAACTATCTCTATACTAAATTTCAACTAAATCGGTTAAGCGGTTTAAACGAGAAGAGGTAACAGGCAGACACACTTCGCATTTATAATCATAGTATGAATATGCGTTGAAGAATCAGTCAGGGCAAGTCATTTCATATGCATACGAGTCAAAGGCTGACGAATAATTTAACTGCACGGATGGCGTAGTGGTTTAAGCGGTCACCTTGGTCGCGGTGTTCTTTGTGTCCTTTTCATGTATGTTTGTCCCCCGCGACACAGGCATAGGTTCCTAATAGGAGTTGTCTTATAAAGAAGAAAAAAACTACTCAATTAATATTGTATGCTTTACAGTTAGATCACGCCCTGTGAACGCAACAGAGGGATCATTTTCCGCAACACATCTTGATGCTGCCGTCTCGTTATTA